CAACATATCGCTAAGAAACTTCGAGCGAAGGGACACAGACATTAAAAGCTCGGCATCCCCGGCATCCCCGGACTGTAAGCAGTTTGCGGTGCAGCAAGGTCTGCGCGGCATGACATGCGCTTTCCACGCGATGAAAAGACTCGCGGACAAGCGTGCAGAGGAGGGCCCGAGGCTTCATCCCGGTACTCTCCCTCCTTCCGCCCTCGCCCCATGCATGACCCATATCCCTTGCCCCGCTCGCAGTCGTGTAGATGGCGATGGCCACCCCGCAAGAAGACATCAGTGGAGGGTAATTGTACCCACGCCTTGGGATTGGAAGATTGATCTCCCTTTGGGAGCTTGTGTGACGTCGGAGTTTGCCATATCGACGATTTCATACGTGACATGGGCTCTGGAAATGAGAGGATCACATACACTGGTCGCAGTTTGCACGCGTAGCACATGCTCTACCTCCGAACCTTCTTTGGCTTGAGTATAACTGTCATTACTCATGTAAAGTGCCCGAAACTCCTTGCACAGCGTGCTTAATCTAGAATCGATTTGTTTCTAATGTTGTCTTGCCTATAAATGTTTTACTTCGAACAACAGAAAACTATGGCTGAGCGGGGGAAATTTTCCAGCGCCTCAAAATTGCGCGCGCTAATCACTACATTCGCACTTATACTGCATCCTTCGTCACTGTGGGAAGCAGGAGAAGCGGCCTCGGTATTTGGAATGACGAGTAGCAATGTAGGGCCCGGAGCAGATACAACAAGCGGCAATGCCTTCCCCCGGCGCATGGCTAGCACTGGTCGTGGCATGCCTACGCTTGGAGGCGTTGGCTTCGATAAAGAGCGCACACTTGGTTTTGTAGAATATTTGAGCACAGAGGCCTTGGAGAGTATTGATACCTTCGACCGGCTCTCGGTCGGTTTAAATATGACTATCGAGAACTTCTTCACCTTCATCAACAGATTGCTTGAAGAAGAAGTTCCTGAAAATGACAATGAAGCTGAGGACAGAGATTCAGAAGACAGCGTATGGGGTGATGAAGAGACGTTAACAGTAAAGCAGCTGGGGCAACTGTTTGGCGGCGTGAATGACACGGCAGTAGAATATATCTTAGAGAATCTCGGTGCCGATATTTATGACTTGCAGGCGGGTTTTAATACTGTAGATGTCATCATGGTGCTTATGTTTGTGTCCTCGCACCTGGAGGCCAACCAAATACCGCTTTCAATCCTTGAGATAATTTCTGCCTTCTGTGACCCCGAGTGGGAGGACCTAGATGCGGACGTTTGGGTGCGCAATGTGGCGAAGGCCAAAGGTGTCAATGAGAGGAAGGTGCAGCATGTCATGGATCAGTTAGAAGGCTCTTTAGAGGACATAAGGAGCTATGTGGAAGAGATCGTGCGCATGGACACCTGCGAGCTCTTGCTCAATGCTAGATTTCCCTCCATCGTCTCAGCTGCCTCGAAGTCCAGCAACCCACATTCAACCCTTCAGAGAGCTCCGAGCGCTGCCTACTCGTCATCGTTCGTGATGGACAAGCGTTGATGATGATTGAGAACGCGTGGCAAGTCTGTGGAGAAGAAACTTACTCGTTCAGAGGAAATAGAGGGAAGATTGTACACATACCAGGATTTGTGACTCGTTTGGGACGTTTCTTTACTTTTTACGGATAAAGATGCGGTAACTGTACAGTCAAGACACATGCGATTTTTTGATACATTGAGTGCCAGCGAAGCAGTGTACATTCGTTCACAGCGGCCCTGTCCTGGCGAGTCGGCCGTCGATCACAATGACAAGGCTGTCCGCTCCAACCTGCACCTATAGCCCCGTTCCTTCATGACCTGAGCGACCCCCTGCTCCAAGTCGCGCGCCGTTTCCACATCGGGATCAGCGCCTTTTTGCATCCTTATTAGAAATACTATCCCTTTTTCATAGAAAACCCTTGCTCGTACGTCGCTTTGCAGGGCCTGCAATGCTAATTTAAGGCCGTTGGCACATGCCTCGCATTTCATGCCTTCCACCTTGTATTGTAAGATCACGGTTGGTGAAGCTGCCTTGTTCTCGCAGGGTAAGCTTCCACTCAACATTGTCAACTCGCGAAGGCCCATTCCACGATTTAACTTTCTCATTATGGTGGGAAACATGGTCAAAATCACCGCCACAAGCCAAGAGGGAGAAGAACGCCAAAGCTGTTTGTATGTCCTCAAGTCATAAACAATCGTCTTGTAAATAAGAGTCGAAAAAGTCAATGAGATGAAAAAGGGTCTCAAATGGTCGAGCGCAGCAAAACCCGCACATCCTATGGAAAAGGTATTAAGCAGCACTTGCACAGCACAACAAGAAGAGGAAAGTAGACCTCCAGCGGAAGCGGCCAATAACTCTAATAATCGTGCTTTGCGTATCCGACCTTTGCGACAAAGTAAGAAAAGTAGGCCCATAAGTCCTACAAGAATTGTGGTCGCGATCCCCGGTGCTGGCATTGTGAAAGATTGCCACAACCGGTTCCTCCGAGCTACAGAAGAGCCACGTGGAAACGGCACGATTTGATTACACAACGCCAAATCCATTTCAACGTCTGAAAGGTCAGTCAAGCTGTACAAAATTTGAGGGCGGTTAATAAATATTAATCGGCAAAAGTATCCCACTCATGCAAAGGACCTTGCAAGACTTGCACATGCGCACCACAATGTGTCGCACGGAATTCTCCACATTTTTTGCCACAAAAGTCCACAAAAGACGTTACCTTTTGTAACACCTCGCGTTAAACTCGATTTTTGAGTTTAAGGCAGGTACATATAGTAATGACGAGGATACTTCTGGAATTTCATTTCCCTTATGAACGCCAAGTGGACGATCTGTTCCAGGACCCCCGGTAGCGCCGACCCGTGGGTACTTCGAGGAGGGCAAGAAAGTGCTCACAGGCAACCTACAATTTCTTACCATGCCTGATAGCTTTATATGTGCATAAGGGAAGGATGTTCATGCAAGAAAGGGAACAAAGCTAATGTTGAGGGACCGAAATTGAAGGAAGCGTGTGACCACTTACGACTTGACTTTCTCGCTGCAATTCATGATAAGGAAGAGGGAGAATTGTGCGCACTTCCAGGAGAAGTACAAACCAACTTATTAGATGTTACATAAAATCATAATATGGAAAAGGGTCGGACATGCTTGGGTTGGAAAAAATGCGTGAAGGTTGCTCGCAAACATCCAAAGACGGCTGTCCAAGTCGCGCCAAGATGACGACATGAAATATAGAAAGCTGTCGTTCTTGCATGCTCTCCTTTGCCAACGCTTCGTATCAACTCCCTCGTTTCTCCATCACTCTCAGCTTACATAAAAAACAATGGCCCTAGCAATGCTCTCTACGGAGGAGCGGGTCTGCCTTTTAGGATTGTTGGCATTATCCATGCCCTCGCAGGATCAAGCTTTCGGACGCTACAACTTGCGCTTGTTGCGGACAGTCTCAAACATGCTTGGACTACAGGAGAATCATTGCTCGGCGCTATATCCTTTATTGCACTCAGAGGGAAATGATGTAAAAATTCGGCATACGCAACTTTTGGCGTTTCTGAAGCCTTTCGAAGGAGCAGAAAGTTTAGCTTTTGACGAGAAAGTCCAGTTCGCACAAGCATCATGTAAAAATCACACATACACAGAAGAACTTGGGCTCAAGCAAGAGCCACCAGCTGATCAAGCTTATCATATCAGTGGCAAGCGCTTTTCAGGGTCAGCAGTCTATCACGAGCGGCGGCGTCGTTATTTGATCCTTCGCGATCTCATGATAAGTCTGGCTTGTCGATCTTTGTACGACGCCCGTACCCGACGCATAATGATGCGCTTAGCATCAGATGCTTTTGAAATCAGTTGGCGCAACATTGCTTGCGTTGAGGCATTCACGGCGTCATACCTGTACGAGATTTGGGAAGCGCGTCAAGAAAAAGAAAAGATTAACAAGGGCTTACGATATGCTAAAATTACGGCGGCTGCCGTAGGAGGAGGCGCCCTGCTGGCGCTAACAGGCGGTCTCGCAGCCCCAGCAATTGGGATTGGACTTTCAGCCATGAGCGCCACAGGCGCTGTGGTTGCCGGACTTACAAGCACTGCCAGTGTAGCCACGCTTTTTGGAGCGTCGGGTGCAGGCTTGGTGGGTTATAAGATGAGAAGGCGAACAGCAGCCTTGGATCAATTCGAGTTCCGGCACGTGGAGCCAAGCGGAGATAAGAAGGAGAGTGATCTTGGACGGATGGCCATCTGCATTTGCATCTCTGGATGGTTGGTGGAGGACGAAAGCGAGTACGATACGCCATTCGGCGTCGAACCCCGCAACTCAGACGTCGCGGCACGTTTGCGCCTCTTTTATTCTCGACATAATCCACAAAATATCAAGTATGCGACATTGTTGGCTGATGAATTTCAAGGCCGGGAGTCTGAGTTGGAGCACGAATGCCTGCGAAAATATAATGCCAGCCCTTTCGACGATAGGAACAAGAAAAAAAGGGGTAACAGCAAATCACCGCGAAAGTATCTTTACGATAGCTTACCGGAGGCGGAGAAGGAAGAGATCTTTCAGCTCATTGCATCGTATGACGAACCTTCGGTTCATGCCGGAACAGATGAACACACACATGAATCAGTAAGAATTTCTCGCAGGGCGCGTCTTTCAAGAGGCGATAGTGCCAGTTGCAAAAGCAGCAGCAAGTGCAGAAGCGATGATAGCAGTTACAGCAAAAGCACCACAACTTTAATTAACATGATGCATGAGTGTGATGATAACGGAGATGAAGTAAGTGTTGAGTCTCAAAGCAACACTGAAAATGAGGATTATCTGCTAAATGCTGAGATCCACCGTATCGTAGGCCTTCAATATTCGTCTACGTCCGAAGGCCTTTCGCCCTCAAAATCGATCGACCGAGCTGAAATTGATCCTATGATGCTTTCCCGTATCGATAGAGAACCAAGATGCAGCAACTTGCCATTTTGCCTTTCACGGTCTCGTCAGGTTGAAAATCGGAAAGATCAAGGGGAGAAGTGTGAAGTTCAAGATGAAAGTGAATTAGGGGCAAAGGTTTTTGATGCTTTGCTGGACTCTGAGTGTAGAGATCTCTCTCAAGATTTCTCTCCGTGGTGGCTCGATATGTTTCCATACTTAGAAACATTTACATTGCATTGGGAATCTAAAGCCCTATCAAAAATGGGCTCGAGCGTAATGGACATTGTCGCTTCATTTGGACAACAAGCTGCATTGGAAGTGTTGACATTTACAGCGGCGGCTTCCCTAGTCTCTGCCCTTGCCTGGCCTATCACCCTTCTGCAAGCCGCGGATATGATTGATAATTCTTGGACGATAGCCTGCGAAAAGGCGGATCGGGCTGGTCAGCTTTTAGCTCAAATCCTTGTCCGAAAAGAACGTGGACATCGCCCGATTGTATTGATCGGTTTCTCCATGGGAGCACGTCTGATAATGGCTTGTTTATCAGAACTTGCAAGAATCCATAATTCATGGGAAGACGGGCAAAATGATAAGGGACAAAAGCCTGAAGTACAAATCAAGGCTTCCACATCGGCTGTACAACTGTCTCCTACAGCTTCAACACCTAGTAGGGAGAAAACAGAGACGGGAAGTCCAGTATCAGGTCTTATTGATACAGTCGTTTTAATGGGTGCACCTGTTTCGTGCAGTGAATCAAGCTGGGTGAAGGCGCGCAAAGTTGTCGCTGGTCGGTTGGTCAATTGTTATTCCAAGAAAGACTGGGTCTTAAGTCTCATGTATCGGTACCATAAACTGGTTACGAACGCGGCAGGTATCGCCCCTGTACATGTATGTGGTATCGAGAATGTTGACGTTTCTGAACTTGTTCCTGGTCACCAGCACTATGCAACGAAGATCAAAGACATATTGCTCTTGGTAGGTCTGGAAGACTCCTACTTGAAAATGAATAAATGATATTCCACCAGAACGAAAGATTTGGCGAAATGATGTAGTTGAAAGATATTAACACTATGTGGAGGACAAACATCGTGACTTTAAGAACGAGCTGCGGTTAGAGTGTGTTCTTTGCGAAATAGTTCATCGACGCAGAGATTTGTAAATACTGGTTCGATAAAGCTCATAAAGTCTACCGTTTTGTTATATCGATTTACAATTGGACTTATCACTTGCTCTTGGCTTCTCTTTACTGAATCGATACACATCTAACTTGGTAGTTCTTACTGGTATCACCTTAGAATACGCTTTCAACTGTGAGAGTGGACTTCGCTCTCTGACGGTCAAACTGTAGTGAGCAAACAGAAAATGTTCAGCTGTAAAAAAGTTCCCCCTACAAGAAGAAAGACTCTAGATTAGTATGTGTAGAACTCGAAAAAAAAGCGGAGCGAAAAATACTATGTGCGCTCAAGCGGTCGAAGGCTGTCCTCGATGAGCTATGTATGAGAGCGATTTTTTTTTAAATCACATCGTTTTCCGATGACGCAAACGACGCACCGCATCGATAAGTCTCATGCGCTGAGCGCCACCTAGATGCAGTGCTATTTGTTTTTACAAGATGTACTTAGATACATCCGACTCGACCAACAAATCATTTACGCGACCGTGAACCAAACCTTTGTCCACTGTTATGACTGTGCCTTCTGGTTTGTCCGCTGCATCAAATGAGATCTGCTCGACGATCCGTTCAAGCACGGTGTGCAAGCGGCGAGCCCCTATGTTCTCTACGGTCTTATTCACCAAGGCCGCAACGCGAGCAATCTCGCGCACGGCCTCATCTGTAAATTCCAGCGCAATATTCTCCGTGGAGAGCAACGCTACTTGTTGAGCAATAAGGTTAGTGACAGGCTCGGTAAGAATGCGGTACATATCTTCCTCCGTCAACCCTTTAAGCTCCACTCTGATCGGCAGCCGCCCCTGCAACTCAGCCAGTAGATCCGCGGGTTTGCATTGATGAAAAGCTCCGGAAGAAATGAAAAGTATGTAGTCCGTGTTGATGTTACCATGCTTGGTACTAATGGTGCAACCCTCAATAAGTGGGAGCAAATCCCGCTGTACACCTTCGGCTGAGGCGTCTGCTCCTCGATAATCACTTGGATTGCAGATTTTGTCAATCTCATCGATGAAGACGATGCCACTTTCCTCTACAGATTGAATAGCCTCCCTTGTTACATCTGACATGTCTACAAGCTTTTCCATTTCTACCTCCAAAAGCAGTGGCATGGCCTCCTTCACCAATATTTTCCGCTTTTCCATTGGCCTTTTGGGCATGATTGCACGTGAAAATTTGCCGATAAAATCTGCCATAGATACGTTGGGGTTGCTTTCGGCAAAGGCCCCACCTCCAGGGCCCGCACCGGCCTTGTCGAAAAGACCTCCAGGCCCCCTGTCTGCAGGAACTTCGACATCGATTAAGCGATCATTCAAACTACCTTTACGAAGCAGGTCTCTAAAGGTTTCCTTGGCATCTTCACGGGCATAGGGGCCTGTAAGAATTTGTAGAACCTTCTCCTCGACAGCCTTTTGAGCCTCGGACTTGATCGCTTCGCTGCGCCTTTTTTTCGTCATGTTTACAGATATTTCGACCAGGTCTCGAATGATTTGATCCACATCTCGACCATGAAACCCAACCTCAGTGAATTTGGTTGCCTCCACCTTGATAAAAGGGGCATCAGAGAGCTTGGCAATGCGCCGCGCAATTTCTGTTTTCCCGCAACCCGTAGGCCCTATCATTAAAATATTTTTGGGTATGATTTCTGTGCGTAGATCGTCTGGTAGTTTATGACGGCGCCAACGGTTCCGCAAAGCAATGGCTACTGCCCTTTTAGCATCCGCCTGACCTACAATGTACTTATCCAGATATTCGACGAGCTCTCTAGGCCGAAGCGCCGCCGCTACGGGTTCAGAGCCGGTTGTTGAAAGCGGTGTGTCGTCGGCTGCAGCTGTAGCGGATGACATCGTCCCTGCGTACCCATTTCCTGGCTCTCCCGTTCCTGCATCTCCGACAGATGAGCCCCCAGGTGGCGGAGGCTCTGTAGGTACAAAGCTGCCTCCAGTCTCGACCTCGAAGAGCCTCCGCTCGCTCCGCTGGAACGGATATCGTAAAGCAGGGGCACCAGCAGCCATGTCGGACGACAGCTGAATGTTGCGGCACAGCATGCGACGCAGGTCGTTGCGTGTGCGCTCTTGAAAATGTGATGCGGTGTTCAGCAGAAAACTGGATGACTCACTCAAGGAGCGTGAATTGCGAGAGAGCGAGTATGACATGTTCCTGCTCCCAACGGCAACGCGGCCAAAAGAAAGAGCCCTAGAACGCATCATGATGGCGTCCTGGTGCCAGTACGATATGATATTTACAGAACGATGGTGGCACTCCTGTGTTGGCTTGTCTGTGTATATGTCAAAAGTATGATGGAAGAATCAGATGGACTAAAATTTCGCTTTGTAAAGATAGCATCTCCGTCCAGATAGCGTTTCGCTTCCAGCTGAAGCAGTTCGGAAACTGCAGCCTGGTCGCAAAAACTACGAAGCCGTCACGCGTTGGTATAGCGCAGAGAGCGGTAGTTTATTTACGTTTAGTGTCAGCCTGTGTGCGTTCTTGTTGCTCGCTCGCTGCGGTGGTGCCTCGCCCATGCCTGGGGCGGTGCGGTGAGGGGGCGAGGGCTCGCTAGAAAGAGAGACGACGTCGAAGAAGCCCTTTCACGGCTCTTACGCGCAGGCCTTTCTCACCGGCGCCTCCGTCACGCCGCTTCGCAAACACCTCTCTCCTGCCAGATGCGCCCGTATAAAGCTAACAAGGAATTCTCCCCGGAAGGCCTCCCATATTCTGTTCATCACAGTCCTCGCCATTCAAACCATGTCTCTCACATGAACACCTTCTTCTTCGAGACAGATCAACTGCATGGCGACTGCGGGTGTTATGGAAACGCTGCAGCCCTTGAGCGTAGGAGATGGAGCCACTACTGGTGAGTGACATGCTTGTAATTTTTGCACTGGTGTAACAATTTTCAAATGGGTCTCTCCTCCTCCTTCATTCAGTGTCGGGCTTGTTGGCTCTCTTGGAGGAGGACAACACACGCCTAACTATTTATGCCTTGCAGAAGCTACACGCCGTGGTGGATAGATTTTGGGCCGAGGTGGCCACTGCGCTTCCTTTAATTGAGGAGTTGTCGGAGGACGATGCATACGAGGCTCGAGACTTGGCGGCATTTGTGGCCTCCAAAGTCTTTTTTCACTTAGAAGAGTACGACGATGCGCTTCGACTCGGTCTTGGTGCAGGCTCATACTTCGATGTAAGTAAAAAGACTGAATATGTCGAGACCCTTGTAGCTAAGGCGTTCGACGAGTATGTCCGTCTCCGCGAACGGCTCGTCCTCGTCGACAACTCTTCTGCGACTATCGATCCCCGGCTGGAGACCATCGTTGAAAAGATGTTCGAACGCTGCTTTTTGGACGGGGCTTTCAACCAGGCTGTGGGCATTGCTCTGGAGGCCCACCGTCTAGACAAGATCGAAGAGGCGATAAATCGGGCCCCGGCAAAAGGCCTGCTGATTGCCCACATTTTCAAGATTAGCCAAACGCTCATCTTGAGCCGACACTTTCGTCTTCAGGTGCTGGACGTTTTAGTCCGTGTACACTCCGCGGTTATAGATCCTGAGTACGTATCGATCTGTCAGTGCATGCAGTTTCTGAATAAAGCGAGCGACGTGGCTGAAATTCTGGACAAGTTATTGCAGGGATCAGAAGAGAAGGCGCTCTTGGCTTACCAGGTCGCCTTTGAGTTAGTTGAGAGCGAGAACCAGCACTTCTTGCTGGATGTCAATACAGCGCTCTTCCCACCTGTTGCTACAGCTGTGGATGCCTCTGCTGGCGAGAATGCCGAGGAAAGCAAGGAAGGTGGCGGGAGCGCAGAGCCAACGTCTGTGCCTCCCGCTGCATCGGAGACGCCTGTCCTCGCTGGATCTGTGCCAGAGGGCGCACCTGTAGAGTACCTTGAACGTAAAATGCAGCTTAAACAGATATTGGTGGACGGCTTTTCAATCGACTTGACGCTGGATTTCCTCTACCGCCACAACAACACGGACCTTCTTATCCTGCGCAACATAAAAACCGCTATCGAGAACAGAAATTCCGTGCTGCACGGGGCCACAGTCGTGGCACACGGATACATGAATGCTGGCACTACCACTGACACATTTCTGCGCGAGAACCTGGAATGGTTGGGCCGGGCGTCCAACTGGGCCAAGTTCACAGCCACGGCCTCTATCGGGGTGGTGCACAAGGGGCACGTGAAGGAGAGCATGAATCTACTGCAGCCCTATTTGCCCCAAGGCGGGATTTCAACAAGCCCGTACTCCGAAGGCGGAGCTTTATATGCTTTAGGTCTCATCCATGCCAGTAAAGGGGGTGCTGGTAACCATGACACCATAAACTACCTTCAAACTGCCTTGCAAAGCGCAGGAGTGAACGAAGTACTGCAGCACGGAGCATGTTTAGGCCTTGGTCTAGCCGCAGTAGGATCAGCCAAAGAGGAACTCTTTGAAGACCTTAAACAAGCCCTCTTCTCGGACAACGCCGTGGCTGGCGAGGCGGCAGCCCTCTCAATTGGTCTTCTGCTTCTTGGCGCAGGTGCCGCCAGCCCGCTATCTGAGGGCGCCATCAAAGAGCTTCTTAGCTATGCGCACGACACACAACACGAGAAGATTATCCGCGGACTTGCATTGGCGCTGGCTTTAATAATGTATGGGCAGGAGGAAAATGCAGAGTCTTTGATTGAGCAGCTTACTCGCGACCGAGATCCCATTCTGCGGTATGGTGCCATGTTCACGATAGGTCTGGCTTACGCTGGCACAGCGAACAACTCAGGCGTTCGCCGACTTCTGCACGTCGCCGTGTCGGATGTTTCCGATGACGTGCGCCGTGCTGCTGTCATCAATCTGGGCTTCGTCCTCTTCCGCACCGCTGAGCAGGTCCCGCGTTTGGTTTCGCTCCTAGCCGAGAGCTTCAATCCTCACGTCCGCTACGGATCTTGTCTGGCCGTAGGTATTGCCT